ACAGATTTAGGGCAAAGATGAACATGAGTCACCTTTTTGTCCAACTCCCTTTTAAACAACCCAGCAGCCATCTGTCCTTGCTGATGTGAACTCCATCTGCCCAAAAGCAGTGTGTGTCTGTGTGTCTGTGTGTGTGTATGGGGTGGAAGGGAGGTCCAGATTTTCCCTTGAGGTCTTTCCCATGGGCAGTTCTGTTAGTAAAGCCAGATGTTGATTATAAGTAGGCGCAGAAGATAAGGACAGGCTGGCCTCTGTTTTGTTGTGGCCTGGCTGCTTTCTTAGTGACAAGCATTTACTAACCACTGGCTACAGTGTAATGTTGGACAAAATACCATATGGATTAGTAAACTAGAAGACATTGCCTCTGCTTTCAGGCAGTTAGGAATAAACATGTCCAGATGCTCACTCTAAGAATAGCTTACAAAAAAAAAAAAATAGAAGTGCATACAAGTTAGTGTAGTAAAAACTGAGTATTGAAACATAAAGCAAGCTATAAAGTTTTACTTCATGACATAAATACCTGAAGACAAAAAAAAAAAAATACCTGTAGAGAGACAAACCATGTTTTTGAATGGGACAAATCAAAGTTGTACAGATGTCAATTCTCCCCAAGGTAAAATATACATTTGGTGTGTTTCCAATTAAAAATCTCCTAAGATTTTCATAGAACAAGCTGTTCCTATAGTTCATCTGGAAAATAAAATGCCAAAAATCCGTCAAGAAAATTTTGAGACAGGAGAGTAGAGGAGGCCTGCGTTATCAACTCTCGAAATAGTCCTTATAGCTATATTAATTGAAGCAGTGTCATTGGCACAAGAATGGACAAATAGCTCAATGAACCAGAATAGAAAATACAGAAACAAATCTGAATATTTAATTGAAAACTTGGTATATATTAAGAATGACTGGAGCAGCCGGTTGGCTCAGGTAGTTAGAGCATGGTGCTCATAACACCAAGGTTGCCAGTTCGATCCCCACATGGGCCTCTTTGAGCTGCGCCCTCCACAACTAGATTGAAACAACTACTTGACTTGGAGCTGATGGGTCCTGGAAAAACACACTTCCCCAATTTAAAAAAAAAAAAAGGAATGACTGTTATCAGTAGGGAAAGGATGGGCCATTTATGGTGTAAGGACAGTTAGCTGTTAGGAAAAAAATGAATTAAATCTTTACTTCTCATCATCTACAAACATAACTGGATTTAAGCATAATACACTTTTTTTTAAAAAAGATTTTATTGGGGAATCGGGGGAAGGGAAACAGACAAGTTGCTGTCGTTTTGTTCTTCAGTCTAGTTGTGGAGGACGTTGCTTCACTGGCCCAAGTTGGCACCATCATTGCGCTCTTCCCGGGTGAGGCAGATTGGTCACCAGCCTCTGGATGGCTGCTCACAGCGGCTCTTGGCAGCTCACACCAGCTGCCGGCCACACACGGTAGCCCATGGCAACCCACTGCAGCAGGGGCTGCAGCCTACGCCGTCGCCGGAGACTCATGTCAGCCCAGCTCCTGGTTGAGCTGTTGTTCACCATCTTAGCTGTAAAGGTCAGTGTCACTGGCCCCATGTGGGATCCAAACCGGGGCTGTGCTGCTCAGAGCTGCTGTCCCAAGCCAGCTCTTAACTAATGCGCCACTCGGCTGGCCCAAGCATAATACACTTTTTAAAAACTGTAGGAGTAATAGAAGGAAATATTGGGGAATATATTATAATTAGGTGTTAGAATAGCTCTTTCTAAAGCAAAATGCAAAACAAAAGTTTTGGTAGAAAAAAACTAAAATTTTTAAACACATTATAAAAAAGTTATATAAAATAAAAGATAAAATTAAAATATATAATAGAATGGGTGAAAACCTTTACAATATGTATAGTGGCTTAATGTAGGAGTGATAAAGATACTACCTACAAATCAAAAGGAAAAAAAATGTAATAGAAAAATGGACAAAGGACATGGACAGACAATTCACAGAAAAGGAATGACTAAAAAACATGAATCAGGGAAATCCAAATTCAAATAAATGTTTTTTGAAACCATAGATTGGCTCAAGCTTAAGTTGAAATGAAATACCCATTTTTTTACCCATCGAAGTGGCCAAAATGTAAAAGATGGGTAACACCAATTATTGTTGAAGGTGAGGAAGACTGGTACTTTCATGATTCTCATAATTGGTGGGGACGTAAATTGATCCATCTTTTGGGGGAGGCAATTCAGTGGTCCTGTAATATTTAAAATGCACATAGTTCTGAGTTCCAGTCATTCCTCTCGCCCCGCTCCGCATGGCCTCTCCTCATTGGCTAGTGGAGCCCCAGCCTTTTTACATAGCACCGGGCCCAGGAGGCACAAGCAGAAGCCTCCAGACCTCTGAAGGGCTAGGCCCACATGTGCATAGCATCCCTTCCACCACATTCTACCAAACCAAACAAGTCACAGGCCAGCCTACACTCATCGGGGGTGGGAGGTAACTAGCTCCTGATGGGACACATGGCTTGTGGGGACAGGAATAGGTGGCATTTGGCAGCTATATTTTCGGACAGACTACCACAGAGGTAGTTAGAGTAAAGCGTAATTCCTCCATGTACTGTTTTAGCAGCATCTCTTACGTGTTTGCATGTTTATAAAATTTTAAAGTTTTCTGTTGTTTTGGTCCATATGTCCTCCCTGACCTAAACCAGGTGACTAGGCACCTATTGTGGTTTTTTGTTTTTTTTAATTTCTTTCCTTGGGATCTGTGGATAAGTTATGTAAACAAACAAAAACACACAGAAGAACCCCATCACAGTAAATGCTGTCCACAATTTCAATTGCGTAAACCTGGTGTGGTGTTGGAACGTTAACGAAAAACAGTGTTTGATCAGTTGGTGGTATTGTCATAAATTAAAGATTGTGCAACTTCCTCTGTGTCTTACACTGAACTGAGAAAGTCCCAGGCAATCTTGAGGCAGTCGCTTATTCACACGCACGCGCGCACACACGCACACCTCGAGAATTTTGTCCCTGCCCAGTCTGAGAATGGTGCTAGATGACATGCAAAGAACACAGTAACCAGACACCAATCATGCTGCCACCAAGTTCACACTGTTACAAGGTATATTATTTTGTGTCTCTTTGTCTTTTCAGATTTACTAAGTGGGTCTGTTCTGTGTTCATTCAGCAGGCCTCCTTACATGCTTAGTGAGTGGGGTGCCCTGGGGAGGGGCACAAAGGTGAATGAGCCTGCTCCTGTGGGTGGAGAGAGGCATGTGCTTGAAAAGAGCCTTTACGTTCATCAAGCCAGAGCTAAGCACAGGGTCCTTTCCTCCAGGAACCATCAGGAGTCTGGTTTCTTGGCTCACTGCCCCCTCCCCAGGCACAATTTATCATCCAATTTTGGTAGCCTGAAACCCTTTATCACTTCTATATCTCAATCTTGTATTCAGTTGTCCAGTTGGCATTATTTTCATAAGCTCGCTTTCTGTTACTGTCATAATCCACTCATCTCCTATAAATGTCTTCGTCTGCTTTCCAAACGCCATGGCTTCTGCTCTGAGATTTGCACCTGCCCTGTTATGCTGGCAAGTAAGTGGCTTCATGTCCTTAGGTCTTGAAATACTCTTCCCTCCGCTCCCCACTCCCAAAGAGGAAGCTCGTCTGGGAACTGGCTTGCTTAAGGTGATAGCTTCACGTCTATAAAGTGTGTATAGATGTAATGAATTACCAAAAAAGGGAGTAAATCTGGTTTAATTTAAGATGGGTTTCTGGGTTCATCTGTTCTGATAGAAATGATAGGCATGAATCCGCAAATAGATTAAGGTAAACTATTAATGACATTCTCACCACTGAAATATACTACACACGGGAAGGATTGATGTCATTATCATTTTACATTACCGTAAATAAGACCTAACTGGAAAGTAAGCCCTAGCATGATTTTCAGGGATGCTCATAATATAAGCCCTACTCCAAAATAAGCCCCAGTTAAGATCGTCAGCCAGACATGACTGTATTTGAATAAATGTCGATTTTTGTATATGAGTAAATGAATAAAATGCATCTTTTGGAGCAAAAATTAAGACCCGGTCTTATTTTCGGGGATATACGGTATGTGACTCTAGCTTATATAGAACACAAACCCTGGCCAGCCCTCAAGCTTGGGCTCAAAGCTGCAGAAGAGAAACCAGTAGCAGTTTTACTAAGTAGGATCATCCTTGCACTGTGGCTGTGAACAAATCATTTCTTAATTGTAACTTGGAGCACTCTGTTTTCCCAGTAATTAACTCGTTTGTGGTTTTTGCGCTTTGTACCAAGGACCAGTCACTCCATGTTTTTACGAAAGATAGTTGTTAGGGTGGCATCATGCCTTGCTTAGGCTCACAAGCCTTTATCCTTCAATAGTCTAACAAATATTTACATTGTTCTGCCCTTCTGGTGCCTTCTCTTAGGCATACAGTGCCTCCCCCCACCACACACACACACACACACACACACACACACACACAAGGCACTTACAGGCCCTTAGTGGAGTTGGCAGCCCTTCCCAGTGTAACAGAGCCGCAGGATTGGTGGATGGAGTAACTAACCACTGCAGCTGTGGACTGTCTTGCCAGGGGAAGGAGAGGAAGTGAGCCTTTAGTGAGCATGGGCATGGTGCTATTTTGTATACATTAGCTCATTTGATAATGAGGCTAACCTGTTATGTAGCATGTGTTCAAAACATAACTTGCTTTCTTTTTGTTCTACATTATGGAAATAACCCATGTTAAATGACTGAACACCCCAAATTTGAAATCCTGTCCATATAAACATGTCCCGGTGGATTTCTAATCTGATGCAGGCTGTGTTAATACATGGAGAAAGGGGGGTAAATCACGGCGTGGATGTAAGGTTCAAAAAAACCTCGTGTATGCTTAGTGTACAGCATTTGTCAGGAAAAAAACAAATAGGTTGAAAGACTTTTGCTCAGGGGTTTTTCAGAGCATTATTGAAGGAATGTGGAGAAAATTGACCCCTCGTCTCCTTCTTTCTTAGATACATTCCGCCGTTGATCTGGGGGAAAAGCGGACACATCCAGACAGCCTTGTATGGGAAGATGGGAAGGGTGAGGTCGCCGCACCCGTACGGGCATCGGAAGTTCATCACCATGTCCGATGGAGCCACGTCGACCTTCGACCTCTTCGAGCCCTTGGCTGAGCATTGTGTTGGAGGTGAGCTAGTTTAGGTCGGACGATGGGGCCATCAGTCGGAGAAGGAGCACCAGTCAGTGAGGGAGCACGGTGCACTTGGGCCTCCGACTCTGACCATCCAGCATATCCGTGGGGCGGGGGCGGGGAAGTCTGCTGAAATACATCACTTAGGAGCAACCGGCAAGGAGTAGCTCTAGCGTGTGCTTGTCAGCCACCACGTACAGCTCTTCACAAAGCATTGTTGAATAGTTTTTAATCCTCTCATGAGAGACAAAAGCTTGACGAAGAGGGTGAGGGAGAACTTGGGTCCCAGGACCCCACCTCTGGTTTCATAACAGAAGCCAGACTGTTCCACATGCTTTGTATATACTGTTATCTCATTTAACCCTCATAAAGTCAGTGCCTTATTAGCCCTACATTACTGATGAAGGAACTGAAGCTTGGATGCGGTGTAGGCTAACTTTGTTTGCTGGATAACGGCAGATAACAAAGGCTCTTAGGTACCCTCTGCTTAGGTTTCCATGGGCAAAAAGACACGTTAAGGTCGTATTTATCAGGCAGGGGCCTGGGACACCCATGTCTCAGAAACAACTCCCATTTTCATTGCTCTGTCCAGCACAATCAGCACTCATTATAAAATACTTCATAACGAGAAGTTAGAGGAAGTGGATTTCGATGGCAGCACCCTTTTCAATGCCATTCCAACCAGAAGAGAACACGTCTTTTGAGTTCTGTGGTATGCAAAGGCACTTCGTTTATTTTTTTTTATATAGGCGCTCGGTAAATATTAACGGGTAAATTCCAATAAACTTGTTATAACTCTCAGTTACTTAAAGTAATAGACCTGCTGAGTAGCTAGTGACAAAGGTTTAATTTATGTTCCCTCTGTCTGGAATGCTCACCCCAGATTTTCACATGGCTGCCTCCTTGTCATTCAAGTCTCAGCTCGGATGTCACCTCCTCAGAGGGAGGATCCCTGCCCCCCCAAACGAGTATTTCCTTCTCAGTAAATCAGCCATACCTCCCCACTTTAGTTCTTTTTTTTTTTTTTAAGATTTTTATTGGAGAATTGGGGGATGGGAACAGCGCTGGGGAATTGGGGGAAGGGGAACAGACAAGTTGCACTGGCCCTCATATGTGGGATCCGAACCGGGGTCCACTGGCGTTCCAAGCCAGTTCTTAACCATCGCGCCACTCGGCCAGCCCCCCACTTTAGTTCTTGATGGTACCTGCCACTCTCTAAACTTATTTGTGTAGTTGTTTATTATCTGTCTGGAATGGAAGGCTCCCCAGAGTCCAGAACAGTAGGTTCTCAATAAACAGTTACAGAAGAAATGACTAAATGATAGGCTAAGCATTCATATTGTGTTTATAAGTCTCATAGCTGATCTTTCAAATATTTATTTCTCTGGTTCCCAGTTACATGTTTTTTCTCTTGTTTCTAATGCTTTTATTTCTTGTATCACTGAAGCACGAATTTTAATTTAACCAGTCTGTTCTTCCCACCAGGACAGAGGTGGAAAGTTGAAAAGGGAAAAACTTATATTCTTCATTTTACTCATTCATGTCTTTCTATCCCCATTGTCCCTAGAAAGGGTTACTGTAGGTGGCTCTGGGGAAAGGATTATTTGCATCCAAGAAATGCTCTAAGGAAAACAGTTCTTTTTTCCTTTTATGATTTTTTTTTTACAAAAAGAATACTCATTTTAGAAAATTTAGATAATACAGAAACTTTTTTTTTTTAACTTTATTGGGGAACAGCGTGTTTTTTTCCAGAACCCATCAGCTCCAAGTCAAGTCATTGTTTTCAATCTAGTTGTAGAGGCTGTAGCTCACTGGCCCATGTGGGAATTGAACCAGCAACTTTGGTGTTAAGAGCCTGTGCTCTAACCACCTGAGCTAGCCAGCCGCCCCCAGAAACATTTTTAAAAGAAAAGAATCACCTATAATTCCATCACCCAACATACCATTTTTAATATTTTGTTCCATTTACTTCCTGTTCTATACACAGTTTTTCCAAAATTTGAATTATTATACATTTCATTATAAATATTTTCCCATGTCATTAAAAAGTCTAAATGTCTTCAAAAACATAATCTTAATGATTGGTTAATATTCTACAATGTGGTCTTACCATAATTTAATAATTCTTCTATCATTGGTTGTTTAGCTTGTTTATAATTTTGTTACTACGATTAATTCTATGATGAGCATCCTTAATCATAAAATTTGAGGCAAAATTCCAAAAATTGGAATTACTAGGACAATGTTTATAAAAAGTTTCAGGTTCTTTATGCATATTGCATAAGAATTTTAAAATCATTTTTCTCTTAACTTTTGGAAGGAAAATTTATGATCAGTTTTAATAACCTAAACACCACTTTTCTTTTAAAGGTACAGTATATTCATACTTTGAAGTACGTAATTCATGCTCATGATAGAAAAACCAAAGATACTGAAGGATATACAAGGAAAGAATAAGTCTCTCTCCCACCCCTACTGCCCACCCACGCCCTTCCCCAGTGTACCCACTGTTGGGTTTCTTGTGTATGATTCTAGAGTTAGTGGATAATTTATAAACATAGATGTCTGTTTTTCATCCACACAAATGGCAGCATGTCATAACCTTTTTTACACCTTGCTTTTTTTCGCTTAGTACACATTGGAGAGCTTCCAAATTAGTATATATAAAGATTTCTCATTATTTTTAAGGGCTACATAATATTTCATCACTTGGATGTGCAGTAATTTATTTAACCACACCCCTATGTCTGGACATTTGGGTTGTGTTCAGTTGTTTGCCATTACAATCTATACTCTACAGACATTGTTTTGCATATGTACAAGTGTATCTATAGGATGAATACCTGAAAGTAAAATTGCTGTTTCAGAGACATCTGTGCAAACATGACTTTTCATTTTTCCATTCAATCATTTGTTCATTCATGCCGCATTTCATACAGAAATTAAGAGTAATGTTCAGAAACATTGTATAGCAATTTTACAGAGTAATTTTATATCTGCTGAATCTAGTAATAAAAAGTCGAGATTTATATGTTTCTTTAATTTCATTTTTCTAGTAATTAATTTTTATTGTGTTTTTCAAAAGTATCTGTCCGTGACGGATTGGAAATTTAGAAAACTGACCCTTCCCCGTATAAAGTTTGAGAGGCACTGATATAGACAGCTCCAGCTGGAAGGGAAACATACTCTTTCCCAAAGAACTGAGTGAAAAGATGCATGTTACATTCCTTCCAACTGTTTTCTAAGCCAGTGAAGAAGCGTCATTGTGTCCATTTGTCATGTCACTGTGTATTGGATATACCGGGATCTCTTTCTCCCCCTGTAGATGACATCACCATGGTCATCTGCCCTGGAATTGCCAATCACAGCGAAAAGCAGTACATTCGAACCTTCGTTGACTATGCCCAGAAAAATGGCTATCGTTGCGCCGTGCTGAACCACCTGGGCGCCCTGCCCAACATCGAACTGACCTCGCCACGCATGTTCACCTACGGTAAGCATGAGCCATGGCCTCGTGGCGTCTCCCTTTTTCTGTTCTCACTGCAAGGGCACTGTTACTGCTGCCTCTGCCTTCCTTTCCTGAGTTTAGAATTTACACCCATCGGCGCCCAGGTGGGGCACCCAGGTGGGCCCTGTAACCACCCTCATCTCATAGGGGCAGATATGGAAGCTCACAGGGGAAGGTCGACTTTTGTTTCTATACCTAATGTCATTATTGATTTTTAATTATTCTTGCTTTGTGGTATGGCCTAACGTCTGATAGCATTAACCCTGACTCATTGCTTGTTTAGAGCGTGCTTTTGTCTCCCGGCCTATTTTTTCCTTTCAGTTGAACTTTAAAATGATTTTGTCAAGTTCTGTATATCAGTCAAGATAGACTAGATTGTGCTCTAGAAACAACCCCCAAATCTCAGTGGTTTGAAAACAAAGATCTGTTTCTTCCTCACACTACACTTTACCATGGATTGGCCGGGGTTCTATGTCTCCACCATCACCATACTCACACAAGGACCC